GATCGAAAGCTCTAGGTGAGAGAATTTTTTGTGGTGGACCAAAAGAAATGGCCATGCCTTCAACTACCAGAGTTATCAACCAAGGATTGAGGTGTTCAAGAATTCATTCTTTCCTAGAACTATCGCAGAGTGGAACTTGCTGTCACCAAGTACAGTAGGGGCATTGTCATTAGATAGCTTTAAACAATGTCTAGAGTTAAAAGTTCAAGGGTTATTAGGTGTAACAAGTCAATCGGTGTAATATAGCCAGCTGCCACCGCGCCGCGTACCTGCGAAGCTGGTGTGTTACGCCGAAATGCGGTTATACCGGCTATACAGATACAGATACAGAAGCTGGTGAGTTACGCCGAAATGCGGTTATACCGGCTATACAGATACAGATACAGAAGCTGGTGTGTTACGCCGGAGGGCGGTTATACCGGCTATACAGATACAGAAGCTGGTGTGTTACGCCGAAGGGCGGCTGTACCGGCTATACAGATACAGAAGCTGGTGTGTTACGCCGAAGGGCGGTTATACCGGCTATACAGATACAGAAGCTGGTGTGTCACACCGAATGGCGGTTATACCGGCTAGACAGATGCAGATGCAGATACCTTTCCACAGCTATCACAGTCAGCAGGATGATGCTTGCAGCGGCCAGGAAAACCACAACAACGCGGCCGACGTCGCAGCTTCTCTCGTAGGTCCAACCTAGAGTCGAGTACTCCCGCTCGGCTTGTTGTAGAGACGCAGGCATCGGGTATGGCCACGTACAGTTTCCTGCTATCCCGTACAGATCTGTATAGAAATCTGTAACGTTTGTGTCTGTGGAGTTCAGTTCGTCCTCCATACAGTACTCCTCGAACATTCGCACTCTCTCGTATTGCCCCGTGCAGTTTTCTGCAGTCACGTACGGGTTTGTATAATTTGTAACGTTTCTATGTGTTACTATCGAGTCTAGTCCGTGCCAGGTTTGGTTACAGTAATCCTCTAGCAGTTTATAGTACGAATCCTCCACATTTGTAGACCGGATAGCGATGACGGACTGTACGAGCGCGAAGAGACAGAATGAGAAGTCGGCAGCCGCCAGATTGGCCACATACACGTTACAGGCGGTGCGCATGGCGGGAAAATGCGTTACTATGGCAACGATCAGCAGGTTTGCCGCCATGCCACAGGAGCACAGGAGGCAACGGATAACGCCGACTGCGTCAGCCATGCTGAAAGGTGCGTTAAGTTTGCTTAAATTGATGCCACTCCGTACATACGCTTTACCAGGTTATGGACTGTTACACTTTTAGGGCTATCGTAAAGAATGAACGTAGGAGGCACAGGATAATGCCTACTGCGTCAGACATGCTGAAAGGTGCGTAAAGTTTGCTTAAACTTTCGCTTTACGGATCAGCGTAAAGTGGCAATACAGGGGGCAGCGGATAAGGTCTACTGCATCAGCCATCACGATGCGTAAAGTTTGCTTAAACGTGCGCTTTGCAGATCAGATTTACGGGCTAGAATAAAGGAGAACCAGGCGAGACTGGATAAGGTCGGCGACAGTCATCTTTGCGGCGGTCATAGAACGCGACTCCCTGGCTTGTGAGATGCTGGTTGGCATTAGTCGGTCCGAGTTCAGCCAGTTCACTGCAATGAAAGCACAGAAAATCCGTTAGTTTTCTTGTGACTCGGCAGTCCGATGACTTTAGACACGTTTTGTTGGTTTATATCATTATCTGACCCTGTATAATGGCAGACACCGGGGCTGAATTGTCCTACAGCATGCCTGTAGCCAGGGGGG